ACTTATTGGTCATTTTCAATTGTTCGAACCACAAGCGATTGAAATATTTAGAACAAAGAAAGTGTAGAGTTGCTTTGATTTTAATCTTATTTTTAAAATGATTTTTAATTAAACGTTAGCAATAACTAACAAAATATTGGTGTACTCGTTTTACGGCTTGGGATTACCTATTAGAAGTCAGAAAATAAATTTGCCTGAAATACCGTTAGCTCGACTTTTCATAATGTCTAATTAATTTTTTTAGAAAGATTACAAAATAAATACTAATTTTGTCTTTGTGAAAACCATTAAAATTACACGAAAGCGTAACGGTTTTATTATAAATCGGTTTTCGGAATTATGGATATTTCAGTTTACGTTCAGTTGGAATATCGGTACATTTCTTAAAGTACACGCTTATTTTCACATTTGGAGTAATATTTGTATGTATATGTATATCTGCCCAACTCTTTATTATTTCTTTAAGTGAATTTGTACAAAATTCGACATAATAATATGTATAAAAATTAATTAATATTTACGATAAAGGCTACTCAATTACTCTTGTGTTCAAGTAATTTTCAGTCGAAGCTAAATATGGCGCATTTTGTTAAATTTCCAGTATAAGCTGAATATGGTGTTTTTGGGCCCTTAAATTGTTGCAAGCAAAATTAGGCAGTGCTGCAATGACGTTACAATTTAAATTAAATGCTTTAGTTTTTTATATTTCGTTACATGTCACTACGTTTGTATAGATTAACTTCGGACATTTTTTCCGTGGTTTTTGTATTAGATCCGACGTCCATTTGTTGGTAGGTCAATGAAGAAAAAGTTCACATCAAAACAACATAAACGTACACATTACGTATTACAAATGTTGAGGCCCCCCGGTTTAGTGCCTACAAATAATATTGATCAAAAGCTTTTAGAACTGAAGGGTTTATCTTAGATAATGATAATACTGCCTTAGATATGATAGTGAGCATAGCTTTAATATAAAAGTTGTTTTTATCTCAAGTGGTTACTATCGACGGCCCTATTCTGTGCTTATGGATCGGATTGGATATCTGAAACTATGTTGCAAACGATAAATTGTAGTAATTAGTTTCAGTTGTTTTTGTTTATGATTTTGATGGCATCTTTACTATTTTTAACGAGTTACAGTGGTCAATATGGAAATCCCTGAACCGTCTCAGGTCGGAAGTTGGCCGACAACATGGTGAAATGGGTATATGTATATCAATCTGACTCAAAACCATTGTATTTGCGGATCCCCCACACAAAGCATGTCTTACTTGCTCTCGTACCCACTGTCTCCGACCAGCTGCACCTGCGAAGACCTGCTAAAGGTAACAAATAGGGGCATAGAGGTGGCTGCCTACTGGGCCATGAGATATAACACTGGTTTAGTATTTTATTGGTTTTTGTCATTGATTCGACAAGATGTCTATTTTTAATGAATAATCAAACACACGAATGGGTATTATATTCTGTTTAACAAATTGGCCCAGTTATTTGATAGGTTTTAAAGGTGTTTGAACTTCTGGTGGCCACAAGTATTAAAAAAAAATGGAAAAGTATGGATTTCCTACAAAATGCGAAACATAAGTGTATTGGAACAATTTTCCTTCATCGTCATTATCATTTCAACCAAAAGACGTCCCAAAGAATCCCTCCCCCAAAGAATGCCATAACGATCTGTCCTGCGCCGCTTGCAACCAGCGGATTCCCGCAGCCTTCACCAGATCATCAGTCCACCTTGTGGGTGGTCTGCCCACGCCGCGTCTACCGGTACGCGGTTGTGCCGTGTGGTGTCCGGCTTAGAATAGAACCACCCCTTCTCTTCCCGTGGGTGTCGTACAAGGCGACAAAGGGATCAACAACACGCAATGAGGATGGGCAGCAGCGTCCTCGAGTACACCTACACTCAAACTGCGATCGCCAACCCGCCTGCCAAGCGTGGCGATTATGTCAAACCCCCCTCCCAAATCATGGCGAAATTTTCTTTAATAATATATATTTTTTAATTTTAACACAATGTCATGGCTATGGTTCATAGAGTTCAGCTTCAAAATTTTCTATCGTAGTTATGTTATCGAATTATATCAACTATCCACACTTCAGAACATCCATACACAAAGAAGGGGAAGGCATTATCACAGAGACACGAGGCACTGGCAGGTATCCCTTATCATGGGACTTAGATAACGCGAAAATTTGTCGAGTACAAATCAATACTGTACGGAATTTTTCCGCTACTTATGCGTAGGATGCAAAAATATAAGCTTATAGTGAGAACAAAAGACAATCAATGACAATAAATCAAAGAAAATGAATGAACATCGTTGATTGTTTTTGTTTTATAGACGCAACCGACGAAATAGATTAAGTACCTAATGAACTCATATTGTAGCGAATGTGAAAATCTCAATAAACAACTCAGAACAGCACAGGGATAGACAGTGCAAAGGCACAGACGTGTCATGATCTCATTTCCCTTCGGCCAGCAAACCATTTGCGTTGCAAAGGATACTTTAATATAATAAATTTTTATACGCGATGGTGACAGTTACCAGCTTTATATTAAAATCCAGACTAATTGCCATTTAGTGCGGTGCTACATATTTTCAATAATTTTGTATGTAGTAGAAGCATGGACACTAACTCAGACGTTATGTAAACGGTTGGAAGCCTTCGAAATGTCGATTTATCGAAGAATGTTGAAAATATTGTGGACGGATAGAGTAACCAATGATATCGTATTGCGGAGGATGCACAAAGGCTTGGAGCTCCTGTAAATAGTAAAAAGGAGGAAGCTGCAGTACTTCGGGCACATTATGCAGAGTGATAAATACTGGGAAAAGTCCAGGGCCGCAGAAGACGTGGTCGTAGAAAAACCACATGGCTTCAAAATCTTGCAGAGTTGTTCAACATGAGTACCACAGAATCGTTCCGAACCGCAACTTCACGGACCCAAATTGCCATAATGATATCCGACCTCCGGTAGGAGATGTCGCCCCAAGAAGAAGATAATTATAACTGTTACGTTTCGCGCCTAAACCTCTGAATCAATTTTGATTAATTTTGGATATAGAGATAGAGGAAAACCAAGAGAGAAAGAGGACAGGTTACTATTTGTCATAAAAATAAATCTTAAAAGGGTGAAATAAGGAATGAAAGTTTGTATGGAGAATCAATAAATGAATGAATCAATCAATGAAATTAATATCGTACAGTACTCGAAGTACTTATTGTACGTAGAGGAAGTCGCGGGCACCAACTATTAAAAAAAATAATTACAAGAGGTTGAAAGAAATAAAACGCACTAAAAGAGTTAGACTCATCATTGGATGATGACGAAAAAAGTTTCATTATACGACATAACATACTTATTATGACTTCAGAATAAGGACGTAAATGCATTTTTACCTCCTTTTGTAGAAAATAAACAAGTAAATTACGTAATATTATCCATCGTTAACTATAATTTGAAGATAGTTTGTTTGCCCTAGGCAGTATCTATGACAATCTAGTCTGTAAGGAAAATTAAAGGCTTAGAATTAAGTATATATTTTCTTCTATTTAGTGGAATATTTACGAGTATTGCAATTTCATTGTGTATTCTGTTACAAAGTTAATACATTTGGAATTCTGTTTCCAATGTACAGAGTGCATTACAAAGAGCAAGTGTGAAAACTAGTGAGGCAATAATTTTTTTTTCAGGATTCCCAAACGGTATTAAACCTTTTTACAAATTGGATGTTGGTACAGAAAAACAAGGTTTTAAGTTCTCTCAAAAACCGTAAGCGATTTAGTCACATCCAGATTATTTTGTTGGTAATTTCATGTTGGACACTAATCACTTACCATGAGATTTCTTTGTAGTGCAGTTACTTAGAATACTTGTGTCAAGCTGAGGAGGTAGTACGAAAATTACTTTCTTATCCACAAGTTTTTATCATGTATAAAGATTAACTAATTGGTACATAGTGCTACTTCATTATTTATTTTGTTATTATTTAAAGTGGAGGAAGGAAACTTACTTGTTATGATCTACGTTTCCTTAATTCTGCACATAACAATAAGCTCCAGATAAGCCTTGTCGCAAATATTAAAAATTTTATTTTGAATTGAATTATTAGTTATGTTTCGTGAAATCTAAACAATACGAATGAAAAATATGTAATGTACATTGTTTTACAAAAACAGGACGATTTAATAATTTTGAACAATATGACAGATAAATAAATAATATAGTACAGTCACGGAAATTTAATGTTGGCCAAAAATTTTCTATTTAATTGCCACACCCAACCATAGCTAAGGGCCGCGCCCCACCGATTTGGTGATTAGGAAATAGTGAATCAACACAACCCTTTGACTGTTATTATCGGATTATACTAGTTAATTTCGGTTTGTTTACGTCACTGTGATTATTATTAAACAAACATTTTTACGCTATTTTTATTAGGGGAAGGATATGGACTAATTGATCTACGGAACTAGATATGCCTTCGATATATTTATCGTAGGTACGCTTTTGCCTATGATAGTACTAACAATCGTTTAATGGGTTTGCAACAATTTCGAATTGTACTGAAAATTATTTATTTCACTATAGTTATATAACTTTTGTCCGCAAATGCTGGAAAATATCATTAAATTTTTACTTAATAAGACTAACAAATTTTATTTTCTCCCAGAAGAATCAATTTTAGCATTATTACCACATTATAACCGAAATTTGAACGCGTGTGAATACGTAAGTATGCAGAGATAATTTGTTACTTGAATGTTTTTTGTAGCTTTTATCACTTAACGTAAGCATAAGTAATATAAAAAAGAAGTCTGTCGTAAATTGTAACTTATACTGTTTTAAAATAGTCAGTAAATTTTGAAAATACTACTTATGAATCTTTTCTACTATATTTACCAACAACCAGTATCATTGATGGTACTCCAGTTTTTGTTGCTATAGTACCTATTTTGAAATAGTATAAAGTAATTAAGACTAAACTCACCTAAAATTGGAGAACCATTTGACCAGCTGTGCAGTGTTGTTCTTGTTGAACTTGATGTCAGGGAAGTACATCTTGAGGACTGCGGAGCTCGGATAGCGAACCCAGAAGAACATCAGCTTGGCTTTGCGCAGGTGCATCGGCGTCAGCGTTGAGGAGTACACTGGAGTTAAGGGTCATTGTGGGAAATGTTGACGAAAAAACACAAGAAAAAATTACAATATTGAAATTTAGAAATTTTATAGACAAAGCGAGGTTTTTTGTTTGTGAAGCCAAGTTTAAGAGATTCGTGAAGGTAGGAAGGTTTTTGTCTTAAATTGTAACAATTGATTTGTCATGTATTTACTAAGGTCATTAATTTTGAGAAGAGATTTTGTATTAATACATTATGTATACGAATAATTTACTCATTTACTCTTAATTCAATCCACGCGCGTTGTGTCTAGAGATTCATATAATTTTATTTTTAAATGAACGATATCAGGTATTAATTAATGACTTTACTAATTTGTTTGATTATTTGCTTTTTCGCGATAAGAGTTAACGAAGCCATATAAAAAAATATGGATTTAGAAATTGTGACAAATTGAACTAGATTTAGATTTTAGTTTAGTTACATTAATTTAACATTAAGTTACTAAATAGATTAGTTGTATTTATGTTTCTTTCTCAAGTGATTTTTTAAGATTTTTTTTTACAGAAATAAATATTTCGTAGGTTAATGTCATCAACGGTACCTAATATTCAACCTGTATTACATTTAGCGTATGGTTTCTATGAAATGTGATTTGTTTTGATTTCCACGTCGTAGGCTTTACCGACGAAGCACCACAAGAGTAATCCATTTGCATCTAATCTTATAACGTGCCTTAGCCCATTTTTATGTAATTATTTACTAGACGCACATACTGTGCACTGTATTAGATAATATAATAATGGTACTATGGGTATATATAAATGCGCGACTATTTTGAATCGAAAATTAAATCGGTAATGTGGAGTTTTTTTATTATCGGAGATGGGTGGGCTAAAGGCACTTAAGCAAAAGTGGGTGGCGTGATAGTCTTTGATAGGTTTCTTTCAGTCTCTTGTTTATTTAGCTACTTATCAAAGGCGATAGTTGGCTCGGCAAGCGCAGAAACCGCATCATTTGTAGGGTTTCGAAACTCGTAATACCTAACGGCTAAGTCGGAAGTCGTAAGGTTAAACACTACAGAAATAAGATATCTGTAGCATTCGTCGGTGGATTTGTGTTATACACGCGTCGTATTTATTAGGTCGGATTTCGTGACATATCGAGTTAACCTATGGGGCAATTGTCAGTAAATGTAATGCAGTGAACGCATAAAGTTGATTTTTCTATAGCGATGCAGTATTTTTTTCGAGTATATAAAGCTGTAAAAGACGGCATGTCTTTTCTAATAAGCTGTAAAAGATATTATAAAGTTTCGTACTTGAAAAGGATATAGTAGGCTGTATTCCATCGTAAGGCAGGTCAGTGGAGTTGCAGTCTGAGTGCGGATCCTGCTGGTCCATGGGCTGCGGGTGGTGAGGCAAGGCGTGATGTGGCAGCTGCGCGTGGTGGTGGCGCAGGTAGTCGGGTGAGGCGTGGTGAGCAGCAGCCAGCAGCGCAGGGTGCAGCAGCGCCGGCGCGTGCGGCAACGGTGGCGAATCGCGCTCGGGTGCTGGGGGTGATCGCGCCAACCCACCACCCGCGCCGAAGAAAGGTGAATACGGCGAGAACACTTGGCTCTCGTGCAGTGACGGATTAGGTATCGCGACCGACGTTGGCAACGCCATCCCGCCCGGGTACGGCCGCGGCGACGGCGACTCCGGGAATTTATTCTCTGGTGAATGTCCCACGCCTTCTCCTAGTATGCGGCTAACCGTCCGAGGCGTAATTCGTGAATCTGTCACCTTATGCCTCTTTTTCTTCGGTGTCACTACGAGACTCAGTGCCTCATTCTGTTCTGGGTTTGGTTCACGCTCGAAATGCCCGTTCATGGGTCCGTAGAGAGGAGCCAGCGGCTTCGGCGGTGTCTGGAACATGCCTGTTGGAGGGCGCACGTGAGTGTTGTGTACGGGCCCACCTGCCTCAGAGGGCAGCGGGAACGCTGCGCCGACCGGGGCACGGGGTCCGTTCATTTGGCTCATCAGCATCGGATTATGGGTCATAAATGGGACGCCATTTGGCGGTCCCGAATGATGGACGGTTGGATTACCTGGCATTTGTGACATTGGCCCCGATGGTCTCTCTGGCTGTTTCAGCGTCGGTGATTTTCTATCCAGTAACCGCGTCGCTCGTAACAGGTCCTTGTTTAGTTGTTCCGCAGCAGCAGCAGCAGCCTCAGATTGTTTTCCTAACATTCGTCGCTGATTCACGAAGCGAGTGACAATTGAGTCGATAAGACTTGCCAAAGAAGCCGTAATTTCATTTTTGAGCACCTCGGCTAGGCCTTCGATATCAGCACCAGTGACTGATCCCACGGAACCGGCATTACTTCTTAACGCATCTAGCCGTTCCGCTAACTCTGAGGTGAGGGGTGGCTTAGAAGTCTGTGCGAGTTGCCTTTGTTGTGGGGAATGCTGATTTGATGTCGCTCTTTGTTGTTGATTATTTTGTTGTTGCTCAGCCGCTTCTTTCATTCGAGCCTCTTGCTGCTCTAGGAACAATTTTTGGCTGACATTAAGGTACATGGCCGCAGCGTTGTTGAGATGTTGGTGCGGGTGCGGAGGGTGCATATGATCACCGGGCGGCAAGTGCGGCATTAGCGGCAGCGAGCCGTTGAACCCAGGCGGGAGGTGCGGGTGGCTTGCGGCATGCATACGCGCGGACATCACTTTACTCATCACTTGTGAAAGCATGTTTGGTGTCGTATTGTTCGTTATCGGTGGCGGTACTTCTTTCGCTGGCGGTGATGCGGGCTCCGACTTAGGAATTGGGTCATCTGTCTGTTCTATGTCACTAGAAGCACCATCATTATCGATCGTCTCTGATTCGTGACCTATTCGATTGTACAATTGCATATATTTCTCTTGCATCTGCGATAGTTGTTCTTGCATGGTCCTTAATTGAGACTTTAATGCATTCTTTTCTACAAGTTTTTGTTGAAGCGGAGGTCCCTCACCGTCATCTTCAGAGTCATCGGACACCGTTTGTGCACTGCTCCCGTGGCTGGTGCCATAGCGTTCCGCTGCTCCGTCGTGTTGCTGCGGGTGGTAAAGTTTTCTTTTCTTGCAACCATTCACTTGTGGTTGGGGCGCGGGACTTGAACGCATGGTCGACACAATATTTTCAACACGAGCACGTTTCACATCCTGAGGCCGAGGTGATGAACGTTGAGCGTCACTATCACGATCCTCAGGTTCTGATTTGGGAGCCACTAGAGGTTCAGACGAAGGCGCCGGAGGCGGTGACGTCCGCGAGTTACCGGCACTGTCGAGTCCTAACAAAGCGTCATCGAGGTCCGGCCGAGACTCGTTAGAGGCAGGTCGTTCAGGTGAACGTTTTTCCTTAGGCTCATCGTTGTTATTATTTGCAAGCACATTATTATTGTCAGGGGAAAGGCGTAGGAACTCCTTTTTGCTCTTTTGAAGGATGCCGCGGAGGACATGGTTAGCGATGTCTCCTCCGCTGGTTTCCTCGCCGGAGTCTTCCTGTTTAGGTACTCGTCCGAGAAGTTCGTTGAGCATTTCAGCCGGAGCGTATCCGGGTCCGAAGAGACCGAAGTGTTGGCGGCCCTCGAAGATGGCGCCGTAAAGTCCGCCACTCATGAGTGCGGCGCGCGCGGGCGCGAGTCCGTTCGTCGCGAGAGTCGAATAAGAATTGCGCGGCTCGCCGGCGTCCACGCGCTGTCTGGCGCGTTTCTGTTTCTTTAGCAGTTTATCCGAGTACGGCGCGTGTGAGTCGGCCTCCTCCTCCGATGACATCATAGGCGAGACGAGCCACGATTGGCCGGGCGGGCGGCGGGCAGGGCCCCACCGCGCTACTTGCGACACATCGCCCGCTCTGAAACAAGGAGGGGAGCGCGATCAGCACACCTGCTCGTGCGCCGGCTTACGACGTGCGACGAACGATGTACGCTCACGTCTTATTAAACTTATAGTCTAAACTTAACTAACAACTTTCCAAAACAATTTACGACTAATATCTACGTATCGATTTATTTACTTACTGCCTAATAACTTGGGTATTTGTTATAATTGACTGAACCAATTACGAATATTTAGTTCGTAATTTCAGACGTATAGCTTACGATTATTTTAAACCGATAGTGACTCGTGTCTACACAGGGGCTTATTTCCAAACGATCTTTATCTAGAAATCGATCGGCTATTAAGCATTATTGTGAGGCATGGACTCGACTGCAGTCTACAAGTCAACTACTAGTAGACTTCCATCGACGTGACGATTCGTAATGACAGCTCATACTAGTAGCACAAAATTAGAAATGACAAGGAAAATGACGAAAATTTTCGTGATCTAGGCCATCGATAATATTGTTTTGGTCTAAACAAATTCGAATTGATAAATTGAAGAATAGGTACAAAAACATCAACACGCACTTTTTATTTATACATTTACTGACCAGTCATTCACTTGTAAGAAATTTAAAAATTAAATGGAATTCAGGAAGAAGTATGTTCAATTCATTGGTTCAGTAATGATAATATCTACCTGCTAATAATAGGTACACGTACCTATGTAGAGTTATCGAATAGGTATTTTAAAAAACCTTTAAACTTTCTTGAACGTATTACATTTCAACATTGCTTTCAAAATTCATTTGACGAACACAGTCAATACCACGTTTGTATCATTTGTACCTGTTGCTCATCATATATAAAATTTCACAAGGCTTTGTCCATCCCACGTATACCTACTACCTGATGAGATAAAACAAGTTGCTATTAGAAATTTTTTTCAATCCATGAAGTCCCAATATGAGCTGTATGTTTTATGAAAGGTAGGAGGCTTCGTGAATCAACACCGTGCAGGTAAACTATATGTTGTGGATAACAAAAGGCTATGTACATTAATTCCTTTTGGAGCGTGACTCCGCCGGACAATGAAGCTAAAAATGTCAGAAATAATTCTGTGAGACACGCCGTGTGAGCGTATGTATCCGTTTTTTATTTGGTCACGATATTAAGGTATGATATTATCAACTCGATATTATCGAAATCTATTTCCATTCACTAATTGGCGATTGAAATATAATATATTGTGCTTTACCTGCTACCTAGTACAGTCTTAAGAATGTCTTGTAAGACAATTTTCTTACTAGTATAAAATAAGAAACCAATTTGAAAAACGTTTAACTTGAAGTGCGATTGGTATTTGCAATTTCAAATGTTTTTCGTCTGCGATATATTTTTTATAAACTCTATAATATCTTGATAGAATAAATCTTCTCACTTTCATGTAATTGAACGATTTGAACAATACACTTACGTTGCAAAAAAATACTCTGACAAATGTGGATTACGTTTATGCTTATACAAATCATATTTGATTACAGACATATAAAATAATATAAGCTTACCACTAGGTGTCTTAACATAATATGTTACGTGAGGTAATTAAAAAAGTAACAACAGAGTGTACGTAGTAATGCGAACGCTCCAGGAAGGCAATGGAAACAAATTGATCTCGCGTCTCTGGCAACATCCGGCTGCAATTTGCGTCGACAATGAGATGGTATCAATAGAGGCGACTTCCGATGTTAGCGTGACCATTCCGACCATTCTGACCACCGACTTGCGACCGTCACGGTGGCTGCGCTGGATCTGCGTATGAAACACCCACTCAGAGGTGGGGATGAACGACTTTACATATCCATTGATTGTACTTGCTCTATTATCGTTTGTGGTATCGAAATTTGGAAATATAAATAACTATCTACGTAAAATGTACACGTTGTCATCAAAATGAATCTTTATACCTATGCAGGCCACAATATTTAGGAGAGTGTTAAGATCTCAATCGCTTTCACTGAGTTTTGTAAATCTTTGAAATATTTGAAATATTTTGAAGCTACTTAATTTTTATAAATGTAATACTTAAATTATATTTAGTAGCATTAAAGCTCCTTGTGAATTCGTCCAGGGAAGTACTGCCACCTTACCTATTTCTGTCGCCAAACAGTAATGTCAGCATTACTGCGTGCTGGTGAAGGGTAAGGGTGTTGGTGAAATTACAGGCACATGGGACTTGTCAATTTATGTCTCAGGGTGACGGACGTAGTGGTAGTGCCCCTCAGAACTTTGCGATTTAAAGCTTCGAGTAGCACTGCAACTGTTATCGACAGGCGTGTATCTTACCATCAGACGCACGACTTGCTCGTCCTGTCACTTAATATTATAAAAAAAAAGATTTTTTTAAAGTCAAAAATCTATTGGGATGCAAGAAAGGAGCCTCCCCGCATGGCATACAGTCCCTTTTCTGTACGTCAGCGAGTACCTTACGCCGATTGGCAAATCACAACATTTTCAGTGGCAGTAGAGCTCTTTGTGAAAAAGTTCGTCTAGGGAAGTACTGCTCCCTGACCTGTTTTTCAAGCAGGAATGTGAATATCATGGTGACAGGCGCAATGGCAGTGCCCCTCAGATCTTTGTGATATAAAGCATTGAGTTGTACTGCAACTCGGTGCTTCATATGACGAAGAAAAAAAATTGTTATACACAGGCGTGCCACTTACCACCAAACCCGGGAGTTGTTCGTCCCGCCACTTGGCCTCATAAGCACAGTATGTATGCCATCGATAAGAAGAAGAATTTAAGTAGAAGAAGAAGAAGAAGAATGGTAGACGTGGTAGCCTAATGGTTTGACCGCTTCTCAAGCAGAGAGTCGTGAATTCGAATCTGGGCTTGCACTTGTGAGTTTTTCAGAATTTATGTGCGAAGTTTAATTCAATTTACTTACCATGAACTTTTCGGTGAAGAAAAATATCATAAGGAAACTGCACACAACTGCAAAGCAATTTAATGACGCGTGTGAAGTTCCCAATCAGGATTGGGCTCGCGTGGCAACTGCAGCCCTTGGCCTCTCATTGTGAAAGGAACCCTGTACCCAGCAGTGGGAATACATAGGGTAACTATTATTATCATAGAAGAACGATGGTAGCCCAGTGGGAGACAGGTTGTTTCTCAATTTAGATCTACAGTTCCCTTCGACGGCTTGACCTATGACTTTAGTTTCTAAGTTTCGTACATTTGTACTCTAGCTAGCTGTTAAAGGAAATATCGCGATGAAACCTGCATATCAAAGAGAACGTGTGGAGTCCCCAGCCTACGGTGAGTCTGCGTGGTGAACCTAAACCATCGACTTAGTTGAGACCAGTGCCTGTTTTGGTGATGTTGTTGTTGACAGTAAAATATTTAGAAGTAGTAGTAGTGTTGACAGTAAAGTAGTTTAGTAATTATTAAGAAGAAAAATTGGATAGGTTTATTTACTCATATTGCCAACCAGATCACGTTATACTGTGACATTTAAAATAGTAGTTACGTATTTTTTCGTTATCTTCTAACCACAAGCTGCTCGAGGTTTGGACGGAGTGGTAGCCAAGGAAGTCCGGGTCGTTCCATGGAATCCAATCCAGACGCTAGGTCGATGGCATAGTAAAAGTTGCTGGCAAAACCTGGACCAGAGACGCACAGGATCGTAAAGTTCGGCAAGAGCGAAAGGAGGCCTATACCCAGCAGTGGGTGATATAGGGCGGAAAATGACGATGACCATCCAGATGAGCTGCCAACCCGCTATCCTTTTTATGTATTACGAGAAAACCATCATTAACTCTCTCATCATCATTTAAATTCTTATGAAAACTGTACATATGTAGGTTATATATTGTTAATATTAAAAGTGCGTGTTAAAATTCAAACCTACTTCATCACTTTGTGCTAAAAAACAATGTTGCGCTCATTGTATAGCACGGTTACATGTACGAGATTGCGAAATGTATACAATATACCTCGCAGTTTTACCCATCATTTCCTACCTTAGTAAGATAAAATGGAAGTAAACATTGTGGTGTACTATTCTGGTGAGCCGCTGGACCGTCTCCAAATCGAAACGTGTTTCCGGTTTTCTTTTTTTTATTGGGAAGAGTTAGTCTATGGATTTTTTGGCTATTCGGAAATTTATCTTTGTCGTTTTTAAAATATTTTATTTAAAAAAAAATAACGCCCCAGGTCTATAAATAAGAATTTTACAATACTTATGTGTTTAAAAATGTTACTTATTTATTTATATGATTTTCGTAGCAAGTGATATTCGTAATTAATTCCGATATTTCTTTCAAAATCTCTACTCAAAGTTTTTCTACAATTAAAAAAGATGCATTACAACGCATATTATAGTACAGATTGCCTTCTTTCCGTATATTAATTTGAGCAGGGTACAACATACTTTTCAAGTTCCCACCCCTCCTATTTGAATAGTTGATTCATGTATCGTAATGCAAGGGAAACAATTCCGGTAATTACCGGATCATGAATAAGCAATGCACTGTCAAATTATGATCGGTTGGGCCCACGATTGTAGGTCGTATTGGGTTTTAGACCTGACGATCCGATTTTAATGTCTTTGTATCAGAAATGACTAAAGACGAATGAAATGTACTGAATTGGTGATCGCGATATCAGCATTTGCAATTAAATTAAGAAATTTTTATCGACTACCTATAAAAAAATGTTATACGGATTGTAAAGAAGAAACTGTAGCGTGTTCTGAGTTCTACACGCTGTGGTAATTAACGGCATTATAATAATATGAATGTAATTTTAAATACACCTACAGCGTAGATACACATCATACTAGGTAGGTACTTACTTGATTTCGGCCCTTAAATGAAAAAAATAAATTAAAACCTGCCAACGGGCTGAGAAAAGAAAAACATAATAATAATAAGATAATACTCTTGGCAGTATTAAAGAATTTTATTCTTTCTGATATCGGTTCTCATAATATTATTCATGAAGAATTTTCATGAGGTTAGGTTTCTCTAC